GGATATAGTATATTAGCTTCGGAGGTCTTCCGCGTTTTATTCTTAATCTTGTAAATTGACCTTGAAAATATTTAACAGTAATATGTATGTATACTAAACTGAATATTCTTTAAAAAGTTTAGTCCAAACTAACCAATAGTTATTTTTGTTTACATGTAAATCAAAATGATGACAGTAAAAATCATCTGTATCAGCTGTTTTTGTTAACTTTAGCTACAAAAAGGTATTGAAGATAACATGGGCATTTTCAAGGCTGTAAGGCGGAAATTTGATTTTTCCTAGCCTTGTGACAAACTCCAATCAATTTATCATGGCCAAATGCCCCATATTAAAAAATACCCCCGCTGCAGCAAACCTGCCGACTAAGTGAATTTCCATTTACCTGGATTGATTTTCAATTAAACCCTTTCCGTAAACTTAATAACACGTACAATGCTGATCAAGAAGTTATTTAATTAAATACCGGTAACCATAAATGTTTAACAAGTACCTAGGTTTGCTGATACAGGGAAACTAATAAAGTGTGTTTTTTACTAAAATATTAATAGCTTAGTATAAAATAGCCTTAAGTCTGCCAAGTTTGATCAAAATATGTCCATAAACAAGCCAACTACAACATTTTACAGCATTCTCCATAAGAATAACATGGGAATTTTAAATGAACAATTTTTTTAATTTTCTCAGTACCGGTAATCAATAACCGTACAAAAACACTTTGATGTACTAAATTATTTGTTTTTTTAAGCTCTTAAAAAATATCTGGAGAAAAATTGATAAATTTGGTGTTTTATGGGTAAAAAATTAGAAAACCCGTTTTTACCCCATAAAACCCCCCGTTAAACCCTGTTCCTATGGTTCGATCATGCTTGTTTACGAACTTATTCAAGTTTATCCCGCCTTACACCTTCATACCAAATTTTATCAAAATCAGACAAAAATTACTCAAGTTATTGTCTTCATGGACACACACATTTATGGAATTCCAGCCAGGTTTAAATAGACTTTGGCATGAATGGAAATAAGCTTAGTCTGCAGGTTTGCTGCAGCGGGGGTACTTTGAGAGTGCTGCGTTCACCATTCCAGATCATATTGCTTGGCCAATAACCTATGGTTAGTGTGTAATTGCCTGAAAAATGTTTATCATGGACAACGAAAAACACTGGGTTAGCAAAAAAAATAACGAATGAAACAATTCCAATATATGATAAATTGATATGTCATTTAAAAATTTAACCATGGGGTATATTTACAATCTGTGGTCAAATATTGACCAAATGTTATTTTTAGCATTGAGCGAAACCATGAAATACAATTTAGTCAAGGTTGTTAGGGGACTACATACAAAGGGGACTAAATTAAAGAAGGATGTGGTTATAAAGCAAGTGCGTAGTCAATGAACACAATTTTTATTGAGAGGTCTAAAAAAATTACATAAATTGATTTACTTTAATCTGCACAAACTTTAAAGAGTTTAAAATAATAGCAGGGATGCTTTGAAAATAATATTTTTCAATTGGCTAGATTTAAACTACGGTATTTAAAAGCTTATCCCATTGGCGGCAATAAGGTCCCTTACATACCATCACAGACCCTTTCAGTTAGCATAATAGGCATAATGAAAATGATTTGTCTGTTGTAGACAAACAACCATTGCTAGATACAAAAGATAAAATCAAAACAATCTTGTCCATTGATTTCTTTTCAACTGTGGATATTTTAGGGTAATTGGTACTATTGATGTATCTGTAAGGGAACACTGTCAAAAATCAACTTCAAGCTTTTCTTAGTTGTCATCATTTATTGATAACCTAATGACAAAATGGGATCTAAGTGTAGCCTATTAAATTATCCATACTTTAGGCCTACTAACTTGGAATCGAACCATATAATTTGAGGTTTGAAGGCATTGAATACCATATTTATCCACAAGGCAGAGCAATCCAGAATAGTTGTTTATGTTACCGGTACGGTACATAGGCTACTAAAACATTCAATGTTCATTCTAAAATGAGTGAATAAGATATTGGACTGATTCAGTTAGCCTACTTAAAAATGCCAATAAGTTAGCGTCAAAAAAAAAAAATATATATAATAATAGGCTAATATAATATAATAATATAATATAAATATAATATAGGCCTAATATTAAAGCAAATTTTGTTAATTTTAGTAGGCTACCGTACCCGTGTTCAGCTTTCATGGTGTCAAAACCACATTTTCCAAATCACAAAACCCAAAAGTTACAATAAATCCAATAAAGGAACATGTGCCTAAAAGTTGTTTTAGCTCATCCAATGATGATATACAATGATGATGATATATCTTAGTTCCGTAGACATTACAGTAAATTACTTTACGTTTCGAATTTATAAATTTAGTAGAGTAATACTGTAAGTTGGTATTTTTTTTATCATTAATTAATATGCCTGGGGAGGTAATTAGAGTTGAGATTTTTTTTAATTCTCAGGAAAGGATAAGGGATTGTCATTTGCCTACTTGATGATGATTGGATTGGGTCTGATGATGATTGGAGTGTCCAATCGAAATCGATCACCACTTATGTACCATCTTTTAGGTATAGGTAAACTTATTTACCGTCTTGTGAGTAACAGTAACTGAAGTTTAAACATATGTTTTAAGTGTTATAGGCCTAAGACATTTCTTTTATTTACTTTCCGTACATTTAATAACACGTACAATGCTGATCAAGAAGTTAGGCCTATTTATCATTTGTTCCACCAAGAACATCAAAATATCTGACATGACATGAATGTCTAATGAACGAGATTTAAATAACAAGTATTTATTTACAATCTATTCTATACTAGAACAATAAGTAATTTTTATGACAATTTTAACATGGGTTAGTTACACTCCATCAAGTGTAATAACATAAAAAAACTTATAAAAAGTTTAACTAAAAACGATTTGGAAGGTCTATTGGATTAACTCTTTTGAGCCTATATGTAGCTCGATAGAGGAGGTTAACTCCCAGGAAATTTGGATGGCTTTCTTTGATATTTTTCGCTTCGTTTTTTTTATTTCTTCTCTAATATAGGGCAATTTTGTATCTTGATGAATAACTTTATTTGTGACAAACCAAGGTGCTTGTAAAATTTTTCTTAGTGCTTTGGATTGAAATCTTTGAACTATATCTATGTTTGAGTTTGAAGTGGTTCCCCAGAGTTGGATACTTTAGGTCCATAAATAGGTTTCAATTTATAATTTTGTATAAAAGTAATTTATTTTCAACAGATAATTTTGAATTTCGACCAATAAGCCAATTTAGTTTGTTTGTTTTCAAATTTAAATGAAGTCGTTTGTTCCAAATGTGTGAATGCCATGTAAGTCGTCTGTCAAGATGCATACCAAGGTACTTATCTTCGTTGGATTGTGGAAGCATGACATTATTCAATGTTACTGGGGGGCAAGTTCTTGTAGACATAATAAATGTAACTTGAACGGATTTTGTTTTATTTAGGCCTACTTCAATTTTCCAATTTTGTAGCCACTGAGACAAATCGTCTAATGCAGCCTGGAGGTTTGATGATGCCAGAATAGGGTTCTGATTTGATGATAAAAAAGCAGTGTCGTCCGCAAATGTTGCGACTGTAATACCCTGAGTACTTGGAAGGTCATAAGTGAAAATAATATACAAAACAGGTCCAAGAACACTACCTTGTGGTACCTACACCTGATTCAATTTCATGCACATCTGTAACTACATCTTGTGGTAGGCCTATTAAATTTGAAAAAAGCGTTTGGACAAATACGATTTCAACACTCCATAGTACGTATGGGGAAGCAAAGTTTTGATTTTGAACAATAATCCTGTGTGCCAGACTTTATCAAACGCCTGGGCTACGTCCAAAAAAGCAGATGAACAAAAACGTTTATTTTCAAAATCTTCCTTGATTACTCACTATCTATGCACTTGCTCAATGGTGGAATGACTTCGGCGGAATCCAAACTGATGGGAAGGCAACTATTCTTTTTCATCAATTATAATTTGGAGTCTTTAAAAAAAAAGTTTTTTCAAACACTTTGGAAACCACGGGAAGAAGAGATATAGGCCGATACGAGGATGCTTGAGTTAAAGGTTTACCAGGTTTCGGAATAACAACAATTTGTGAAACCTTATACTGTATTGGGAATGGGAAGTATTCAAGGCGTAAAACTGCATTGAAAAGTAGGCCTACTGTAAGGTAAACTATTCCTTTACTTGGCAGCTCTTTCAAAACTTTACCTGTTATCAGGTCATAATCGGGGGCTTTTTTGCCGTTTAAAGTCTTTTATTACTTTAGCTACTTCAGATGGTGTGAACAATTTTATTGATAAATCAAGTTGATTTGGAGAATCGAGGAATTCCAAAATTTCTTGTTCAACGTTTAAATTTATATTTATATGGCTTGAACACTTCTTTGAACGAGATAGCCTAACAGTTTTGTTACTGACTTAAGATCAGCTGGGTTCAGGTAATTTCTGTTTTATGCTTGGTAATTTGAATTTAACCTAAATTACCATACCAAAAACAGTCTACTTGCCCAATTTACCTACCTACTGTAAGTTAAGTATAATTTTTAGCTAGCCTAGTAAAATGATAAAAGGTTAAATGATATTATTAGCCATTCAGTAGGCTATACAGTTTACAGTATACAGGTTGTGGTCCATCAAAATAAATAACAGGGGAAGACCTACTTTAAACCTGTGGTAGCTTACCTAACTTACCTGCTTCAGCAACAGGTAAGTCAAGCTAGCAGTCCAAACTTCAACATGTCAAAACATGACACTTAAAAAAAAAAATAAGCTTAACAGATATTACAGCAACAAGCAATAACTTAACAAAAACAATAAATTGGTATATTAGTAAATCGTCTTGATGGGGGAATAAGTAAGTTAACTTAGTTGATCAAGAAATGATAGGCTACGTTAATGAATTAATTACTTTTGTGAAGGGGTGAAGTTTTAATGACATAACTGAGAGCTTCTGTCAAACTTACCCTGTTGAAGAAAGTCCTAGGCAACCTTGTTAGTAATTTTTCTTTGAATATTATCACACACTGCTAGATTTTACCAATTTTACCACAGAAATAACATCGCACCAATGTGTCAAGTGTCAATGCTAGCGCCAGTGTTATTTTGTTTGTGTAGGTTGAGATCTAACCTCAATCCAGAAAGAAAAACTAGTCAAAGAAGTATTTGGACAAAATCAAATACTTTACTTTCCACTGCAGTAAAACGAACGATAGTGGCCTACTTTAAATATTGCCGGCTAACGGATACGATGATATGGCGAAATAAAAAACAATAAGCATACAAGCAGAATCCACTCAAAAATGCACAAGCAACGTAGTACTATTACCCCAATACCCAGTACCTCAACTCAACTCAACAACTCAACTAGATTAGAGTAGAGAGAGAAGAGTACTGTACTAGAGAGTAGAGTAGACTAGAGAGGAGAGAGCGATGCGATGCGCGATTGCGAGATGTTACAATCGAAACGTTTCGATTATTTGAACCTCTCGCGACGTTTATATTGTATTAGTGAATTTCCCATTAGGGAATAAGCTATTATCGTAGTACTCATGGTAAGACCTGGACCCAGGACCGATTTAATTTTTTGATTTGAGGTCCCTAGATGCCAAAAACACCATCCGTTCAAATTCATATGTGTGTGTGTCCGTTAGCGCGATAACTCGAGCAAAAATGATCCGATTTTGATGAAATTTGGTACAAACGTGTAAACTTACGTTTATTCGAACGAGTTCGCGATCCAGCATAATCGGACCATGGGAACGGGGGTTTATGGGGGTAAAAAATGGGGTTTTCCCATTTTTGACCCTAAAAACAAAACATTTTGCAATTACTTTTTAAACTGTTTTGTAGAGCTTAAAAAAATAAATAATTTAGTATATTGAAGGGCTGTTGTATGCCTGTTTAAACATGCCAAGGACCTGACGACAAAGAAATATTGCCGGTCGAACACGGCGAGTCAACATACGGAAAGCAATGCAAAACGTAAGGAGCCCAGACGAGGAGCTGGAACAGTTAGTGGCAACGTGTACTTACAAAATTACACTGACAAATACAATAACTCAGCAGCATTCCCTTGGCGAGATGGCATTAAAATTTAATGTGGTGTGCTACATTTTAATGAATAACAAAGAGGACGAGGCGAAAGATTTTCATCCTGCTGCCATAAAGGAAAAGTGAATCTATCACCATACCGAGAGAGCTATTATATCCAGAGCCTACAGCCTACTAAATGGAGGAAATCATTTGAGCAGAAACTACAAAGAGAACATTAGATCGTACAACTCTGCGCTCGCAATGGTCAGCACTCGAGCTAAAATTGAAGAACATAACAGCGGAGGGCCTTTCATGTTTAAGGTGCACGACACAATTTATCACTCAATTGGCACCTTACAACCGTCAGAAGGGGAGCATCCCACATATGCCCAAATTTATATCTACGACGTCGAAACCGCTGTTCAAGAAAGAATGCTAAACAAAGCTAATGGCTCTTGCAGCACTGAACTCATGCACATTTTGACTCAACATTTGGTTGATATTAATCCATACGCGCAAGTTTTCAGCATAATGAGCTCCGTTCTTTAAAATAGGTACTACTACTGAAGAGCAAAAAGAACTTAGAATGAATATAGCCAACGATCGAGCTCAAGACCAATGTCGATACAACGACGCAACTTCTAACGACGTTGCTACAATATCATAATTGATTCGTGCGAATTCGCACGGGTTCACCTAGTAAATCATTATTTCAGTTTCGAACCTTGTACAGTATACCTTCATAAAAGCCGCTTTTATGAAGGTACTGTACAAGGAAGCCAGGCAGGGCACGCTATCCGCTATCCAGTAGACCGTCGAGGACGATGTCGTTACCCACTGAGCTATAATTCTAACTCATAATTTTATGAGTTATAATTTTAGCTCAGTGTCGTTACCGTAGGCCTATCGTTGCGTTAATGGTGTTCCCTCAGCCAATCAGAAGCCTCCAATTTACACTGTTGGCAAAACTAATCCTGAAATAAAAATTCAGCGCCCTGGAGCTGCAGCGTTTGGGTGGGATTGGAATTGGGAGTATTGGGACAATTGGAGGCAGGCAGTTTAATAACTGTTTGTTTTGTTCGCCTCGACGCTTCCTCAAAAGGAAATTTGGCCTTGTAGTAAATGTAGCCTAAACCAAACAGAAACAACCAAACTCAGCTTCTGCTGTGTTGCTGGGCTGCTGGCTGCTGCACCTCACCTGTCACATCACATAAAACTGATCAAAATAATCATGAAAGCTTGTTAATTGAGATATTGCAAGATTAAATTGTGGGCTGAAATAACATTTTTATGTTAACTTACGACTTCAACATCTTGTTATGACTATTTTCAACAACTGTTCTCAAGGTTAGTATTTACTTAAGTTAGGCCTAAGTTACCCCTATTGAATTGTAGGCCTAGATTGGTCTAATTTGATGAGTGTGCATAATATTATCTTATTTAACTTACTCTTATAAGTTAACTGAAAATAATACGTAGACCTATTTATCCTACAGTAACAATTAATTAGGCTTTTGAGGCATAGGCCTACCTAGAATAGCCTAGGCCTGGACTTTGAACTTGTTTTTATTAATGTTTTTGGCATTATTCGTCAAACAATGTTCACATTAGCGTCATTATGCCTGTGACTTAAGATTTTTCCTCTGGAAACCACTTTTGGTTAAGAGTTAGCCTAACTTAGGCTAGGTGTATTTATGTAGCAGGAACGTCTTTTTTAAATATGGTATATAAGACCTAGGAAATGACAGCTTAACCGACAAGGTCACTAGCCTAATTAATGAATAGCCTAAGTTTTAACACTTAAGAGGGGGCCGGACATAGCTCAGTGGCTCTCGGCCGTGAGCGTCAATTTAACATGGAGCGCAACTTAAAATTCCCGGTTTTCAGGACTATGTAGGCTTCTAAAATTTTTTTAAGAAACACAAAGCATAGAAAATATAAATAGGAATCAAGCTATTAACTATTAAAGTTACAATTCTGCTGCATAACCTTAATATCAGAAAAAGTAATTACTTCATTTCCCATAAGGATTTGATATTATTTTCTTCTTGATTATAAAATCACTGATTCGGTAAAAAAATATTAATCAAACGCCGTATTAAAGAGCATCTTTCCCTTAATGATTGTACTTTTACAAAAAGCAGTATTTCTATCTCCAACACTTTATTTTATATATGTTTTTAAATGCTTGCAAATTAGTCTTGATTGCCGACCGAGTTCTAGTTCGACGATGTCCCGACTGATGGCAGCAACGTCGTTCATATATCACTTTCCGTTTTCTAGCAGGCCCGCCTTGTACGATTCAATTCAAACAGGCCACGTTTCTTCAACATATGGTTATACTGTATCCCCGAACTATTGAAACGATTAGCAAGAATTATTTTGTTTGTAATATTTATATAGGGCATCTAGAAATAAAATTTTCCTGAGAAAAAGAAATGTATTGATATATTGGAATAAATTAGATATGTGGATCAAACTACATAGTAAAACAAAGTTCAGTGCGACTAGAGTCTGCATATAAATAGGCCTAGCTCAGTGTAATGCGATTAAACCTTCCTGGAACCATGTCGACCCTCTCGACCAGGGCTGCAATGTTGCCGAGCAAGCTAGTGACTCACGCATTATCCTGGAACTTTGTTGTCCCGTTAGCTTCTTTTGTAATCTGCATAGACCAAGTCCCGAATAGTCAGTTGCATTGTGCTGTTTGCCTCCGTCTAAAAACTGAGTATTGGACCGGCTATTTTCTGTTCGGCTTTCCGTGTGACGTGTGTTTGCAGTCTATAACCTAGTAGTTTGTACAGTTACAATTACCTTTTTTGACAGACTAAGTTAGCTCGGTAGGTTTATTTTTAAGTTTTATTTGATACGTAGGCCTATACGTTTTTACTACGGTTGTTAGCGTTGTTACTCGTTAAGTGTTATCTGCACAATGGGTAAAACTCGACCACCTTTGTCAAAAAAGAAGAAAAAGCGAAGACTTGGAGCAGGATTACAACGGTTTTTCGAAGAGAGAAGGTAAACCTCATTAAATTATGTTGTTTCTTGTAGAAAATGTACACAATGCTGGATTGCAGACAAGACTTAGGCTACACTGTGTAATTTAAAATTTAAACATGAAATAGTATATGTTTTAATACTGTGTATTAATTATTGAAAATTCATTATAACATCTGTATATTATTACAACAGTATATTTTGTACCTAGTGCTGAAAATCCTTTCAGCCCGTGGTACGTTGGCTATTTTTACCAACAGTTTACACAAATTTTGCCCCTTTCTTGCTGCGATGACAGCTGGCATTTCAAACCTATACAACAATACGTAGCTTTAGAGTCCAATGGCTAAAAACATCGTAGTGTGGTGAAATTCCAAGAGTGTAGAAATTTAACTCGTATCAAGTAAGTAGGCTGAATATTTAGTAGGCCTATATGATTAATTGCAATATTTTAACTTGATATGTAATGGTTAAAACATACCTCGTCAGACAATACCTCGTCGAGGTATGTTTTAACCATTATGTCATACTAGCTGTTACCCACGGGCTTCAACCAGTTTGACTTCATAAGTATTATAAAAAACTATTTATTGGTTAAGTTAAGCTGAAATAAACATAACAGAATACAGCATTACAAACAAATTGTCACAATAGATTTTAATCCTACTAATATTATAAATGAGAAAGTTTGGATGTATGGATGTATGGATGTATGGATGTATGTTTGTGACAAGTGAACGCGAAAAATACTGGTCGGATTGGGCTGAAATTTGGCATGATGATAGCTCACATACCCGATTAACATATAGGCATATTCTTATTTCAAAAATCCTTTCGGGCTCCGCCCCAGTGGCTCTGCAGTTTCCCATGTTAACCTTATGAGAAATGGAATTATCGAATATTAACAGCTGTTTCAATTAAACAAGTTGGTTCTGTTCTATGATGTTCAATAGCTTTAAAGTTACAAGGATTACCAACAGGGTGCGGCACTATTATTTCTTTTACATTTCTGACAACAGCTAATTTGTAACCAAAAGGTGAGTGAGCGTAGCGAACGAACTTCAACCTGGAGGCGAGTTAGCGTAGCGAACGAGCTAACCTGAAGGCAAGTGAGCGCAGCGAACGAGCTCCAACCCAAAGGTGAGTGAGCGTAGCGAACGACCTCCAACCTAAAAGTGAGTGAGCGTAGCGAACGAGCTCCAACCTAAAGGTGAGTGAGCGTAGCGAACAAACTTCAACCAGGACGTGATTGAGCCATGCGAACGAGATAATTTTGAAAATTAAGAAGTTAAACGGGGCAAAGCCCGCGGGTTACAGCTAGTAAGGTAATAAATTGAAAGAATAACATACAAATAAGAACAGCTGAGGTATTTTTAACATTAAGTATATGGAAAGTTCCCTTTGGAAAACAATTATGACCTTAAAGGGCAATTTATGAAAAAATGGATAATTTTGCGCAAGGTTTCTCGTCATGACGAACATTTTAAGTATATGTTATATTTATATTATATTATATATTATAGTATATTATAGCATATGTTATATTATATTATATACATGTTATATTTATTGAAATTTTATTGCTGAAAAATCTAATTGTTTGCATATAATTTGAGTTTGTTGTTATCATTCGAAATATCTACCAATTCACAAATGATCACGTTGCCTATATGAACGTAATATATTGTTGGTTTTTAAATTTGTTTACTATGATATATGTGTATATTATAAATTCGTAATTTAACATGTTATATTTTTTTAAATTTTACTACTAAAAATCAAATTGATTGCATATAATTTGAGTTTGTTTTTATCAATCAAAATATCTACTAATTCTCAAATAATCTCGTTGGACGTAATATATTGTTGGTTGTTCAAAATGTTATCACTATTATATATGTATATATACTAAATTCCTAACTAAACATGTTATATTTATTGAAATTTTATTGCTTAAAATTCTAATTGTTTGCATATAATTTGAGTTTGTTTTTATAAATCAAAATATATACTAATTCTTAAATAATCATTGCCTATATGGACGTAATATATTGTTGGTTGTTCAAAAATATTTCACTTTGATATATGTAGGCTATGTATACTAAATTCCTTATTATATATGTTCTATTTTTTGAAATGTTATTACTAAGTAGTTGTATATGAATTGTTTGCATATGATTTGAGTTAATTTATATTGAGTTTGAATTATAATAGTCACTTTGGTGGTCACAATGTCTGGGTTGTTTGATTCTTTGGAAGAAAGAAACAAACTGTGACAATTTAATTGAGCTTTTTTGTACGTGTTTACGTTAACTTTGAGAACGAGCAAATTACATTCCCTGGTGTTAAAATGTTATTTGTCTTTTATTGATTTTATAAAGAGCTTCATACCTTGTATAAGTCTGAAATTAGAAATATAATTTATTTTGAAGCTAGACCTAATAATAATGTTGAGTCTGATGTGAAATTTTGATACAAAAATGTAAGTAACTATAAAATACTCAATGCATTCAAAATTGTATATTATGATTTATAAGTTTTATTTTTGTGAGTAAAACCCTTACGCCTTACTTGAGTACTTTACTTTGCCCTCATATTACTTAACTTGTTAACTAAATGTTATTTTTGCAAGCCGTTTGTTCCATTGTTAGATAATTTATCCGTTGCTTCTAAAAGCCTGTTTGTAGTATCACAGCTTATCTCATTAGTTCACGTGCTCCTATTGACTTATATTTTACATGTCTATCAAAATAATTGTTGGTACAGGATCAAATGTAAACTGTATTATATGTTTAAATGAATTAATATTGTTGTGTCATCAAGAGATGAACTTCTGTTAAAACAAAAACAAACTGTGCAATTATTCTACGATAATTGGGCTTACACAAAAACTGACAATACCATAACGCAATAGTAACCAGCTATAGCGCGAATGGTTGGCGAGTTCCTCAGCGCCCACACTACTCTGCCTTGTCGAAACTTTCGCTAGTTTTATTGTGTCAGCCCGAGTGGTCCTGACCCTTGGGGTAAGCAACCCTACGTTTTTTGCCCTTCCAGAACGACCGGTCCGCCATTACGCCATTAGAACTGCCTTGCCGACGTTGATACCGTGAGCGACGGCAGCGCCACAGCTGTAAGTGAGTATCCATAGAATTAAAAGGCGATTTTGAGTTTATGTCCGGCCCACTCTTAACAGGAATGAACATTGATCATAACTTAGGCCTAAGATAAGTCATTTAAAGTGACCTCTCCTTATGACCTTGATTTCTTGGTCATAATGTGGTAATCATGGTGCTGTCTCCATAGACTAGGTAGGCCTACGCACTTTGGACCACTTGACAATCTATAAACTAGGCTTAACTTTATTAGGGTACCTATCTAACTTAATATTGTTTGAAATCAAATTATAAATTTACAAAACATGTTTTTTTTTTGGTAGACTTCCGTATCTGTTGGCACAAACAACCGAATGAAAATATCGATCGATAAGTTATATCGAATGAAACAATCGAATAATCGATATTTTCATTGGGTTGTTTGTGCTAACAGGTACGGAAGTCTAGGGGCTATTATTTTTGCCTAAACAAGATTAGCAGTTTTTAATCCTGTTCTCTAATACAAGCTATTACTCAATAACTCGGTTACTGAACCAAGTATAACTTAGACATATTTGCTATGTCTGTTTGTCTGTCTGTTTGTAATTTAAATGCGTTTGAAGATATTGAAACAGATGGAACATGGTTCGTATATCGATCGAAAAGAAATCATCGATAATAATGAATATTCGGTCCCCTTAACAGGAAAGTAAAAACTGTTGTTCTCTAAGTTACAAAAATTGTAGGTAGATAGATCACAGGTTTACAAGAAAGGATCTTTAAACAAAACCAATTGTTCTAAACGCTCAATAGGCCTTCACAAGGCAAGTTCACTAAGTTAGCTACTAGCCAGTGAGTTTAAAAGTAGGCCTGTTAGCGATTATGACAAAGAAATCCCGATATCGACCAACTCCTCTAACAACATCAAGACTAATCCTTCTTTTACTCTTGCACAAGTAACTGTCAGTGCTGCACTTAGATAGTTTTACAATCTAGTTTGCAAAAAAAAAATAGTGATTGGGGTACGTTTAAGGTTGCCGGCAGAAGGACAGAGTGAACTTTTTACAGGGCTTATTTACGCAGTTATTGAGCGACTGTGCCAAGTAAGTTACACACTGGGTTAAGATAGTTTATGATCTGTGTTTAAAAAGCCGGCTGGTAGCTTTAAAAAACCCTGTGTAACTAATGGTGCATTGTCCCTGAAGCGACTCTTGCGATAGTAGCTGAGCGATAGTAGCTGAGCACTGGTTAGCGTTGTTTCAAATGGGACCATTGTCCTTGATGCGACTGCGACTGGAGCGGCTAGCGGCTGAACTCAGCGACTGTAGCGGGTCTGCTCCGAGGGGAGTCAATGTCGCAGTCGCTGAGCGATTTGTGTTGTGTGTAGACTTGTTTTGGTCGTAATGTCTTCAAAGAATTCCCTACAAAACTGTTTTTTACCCCTGAAGAAGATGAAAAGCTGTTAGAAGCAATAGCACCTCATTCTGCCATTTACAACTTGAAGAACAGTCTGTAGGTATAAAGATCAGCATGCTAAAGATAATATATGAGTCGTGATAGCATCAGACGTGGGTAGATCAGATATGTACATAATATTAAATCACTACTATTATAAGTTATAAATAAAAAAACTTAAAAAATGCAACGTTTTTAAACGCACTATAAAGTACAGAATAAGCATTGAATAAATACTTGAAGATTTTAAAAAAACGTGGGGCGCATGCTAATTTACAATCATCTTCACCTATTGAACTATTATTATCCATTGCATGCGCCCCACGTTTTTTTTTTTTTAAATCTTACATATTCTCTCCACATACCGGTATTTATAAACTATTTTTCCTTTTTAGTGCGTTTAAAAACGTATTTTTAATTATTTATTTTTAGTGTTTTAGTTATTTTTATTTATAAGTTAATTATTTTCTACTTTTAGCGAATTTCCCATATAGGGAATAAGCTATTACCGTAGTACTCATGGTAAGACCTGGACGCGGGACCGACTTTTTTTTTCGTTTTGAGGTCCCTAGAGGCCAAAAACACCATCCGTTCAAATTCATATATATATATATATATATATTTATATATTTATATATTTATATATATATATATATATATGTGTCCGTCAGCACGATAACTCGAGCAAAAATGATCCGATTTTGATGAAATTTGGTACAAACGTGTAAACCTACGTTTATTCGAACGAGTTCGCGATCCAGCATGATCGGACCATGGGAACGGATGTTTACGGGGGGTTTTATGGGGTAAAAATAGGTTTTTCCCATTTTTGACCCAAAAAACATAAAATTTAGCAATTTATTTCCAAACCATTTTGTAGAGCTTCAAAAAACAAATAATTTAGTATATTGAAACGTTATTATGCGCCTAATGGTTACGGAGAAAATACAAAAAATTGTAAATTTAAAATTCCCATGTTATTTTTATGGAGAATGAGTAAACTGTTGTAATTTGCTTTTTTATGAACATATTTTGATCAAATTTGGAAAATGTTTTGATTTATTACTAACTATTAACATTTAAAAACACAGTTTTACCCTCCCTGATGCAGCAAACCTAAGTACTTGTTAAACTAATTCTATTTAAATCGGGAATAAATGTTATATTTTTAAGTAGACATTTCAGTGTAAATCCAATCAGTCAAATGGAAATTCGCTTAGTCTGCAGGTTTGCTGCGGCGGGGGTATTTAGTCTTTAATGTGTAAATATGTTAAATCTATTTTATATGGCCTGTTAATACATAACCAAACCCTTATTATCTGTAATCATATGTTTTATCTTTCCTTTGAATTGCTTATTTTATATTTAGAATCTCTCGGGAGCAGAACCTGTAGCTCTTAACTTTTGCACTTCGAACTGTCAAATTTAAGTATTTACAGCTGACTTCAATTGATATATTTAGGCCTGCATTCTTTCAAAATGTAAACATGAAAAATTTGGAAGCCCATGGGGCTTAGCCCAAGGGAAATATGAAAACTAAATGATATAATATTGCATTGTCATCCATTTGTGAGCTATGTTTCAAGTTTCAATTCTCTAACTCGTCGGGAAGTTAGTTATTGATTGCAAAGTTTGTACCGGACAAGAAAGTGAGCTAATAAAAACAATTTAAAATTAGCTGGTGTCATGGCACTCATGGTTCCAATTCACCTGTAAGTCAGCAAACTAATGACTAAAATCGCTCTAGAACAATTGCTTCAGGGACAATGACATGGTTAACTACTATCGCTGAGCTACTGTCGCTCAGCTACTATCGCAAGAGTCGCTTCAGGGACAATGACCCTTAAGCCTTGGTTATTGTATGAAGAATTATTTAGTTATTATTCTTATCATCGTCATCAATTGAGATGGGGCGCCACCTAGGTGCGTATTTTAATCCTGCTTCAAGGATAAGCTTAGAATAAAGTGATATGACTAATTTGAAGTGTAGCTTTGATACTACCTTAGACCTGCTGATTTTATTAACCAGGACCTTAAGTTAATAAGTTGCTACAATGATCAAGGTCAAAAAGCTACCCACTTTTCTCAGGACTGACTGGTGACCTTTTTTGATTACGAGGTCACTTAATAAGTGATTAAGTTACAACCGCTCAGCTACAGTAAGTTACCCTCTATATTTCCTTGGAGATGAACACAATTAGAACAAGTTACCTACCATTACACTACACACATGTTTTTCTTTTCAGTTTGTTGCTGTGGGTATTTCAATTGACCAATTTAATAAACAATTATTCGTCCTGGTTGAAGAAGATTTTCCAGTTGGAAAGTCATGGATACAAACGTTGATTGCGGAGGTGACAGAGGAAGGTAAGAGAATTCAGATTAATTGACCCTAAAATTGGCTTAAAAAAAGTAAATGTAATTTTTGTGTAAAACAACTTTACATCCTTTAAGGTTGAAATTACTAGGCCAAGGCGTATGTTACTTTTTTAATGCCAAAATACCCTAATATTTTATTTTTGAGAATTTCAGCACGACTTAGGCCTACACTCGCACTTTATAATTAAAGAATACCCCCAATTTATTTAGTTTATTACAACATTACAAATCTCTAATGTCAGTTTGCCTGAAAAGCATGCCTTAAAAAATAATAAAAAGTGATGGCAAAGTGTTTTTTTTTTTTTCAGTTTGAATCCAAGTGAATTAATAAATGGGTTGATTGTGAATTTAAGTAGGTGATTTTAACTTAAAATACACATGATCATGTCATAATCATATTTGAAACAGCTTGTGTATTGTGGTGTTTAGTTGCCTGTTACTACGATATGCTAGCCAAAACTCGTTGGATGAGAGTTCTCAGAAACATATTCCGAGACCAAGCAGTAAGGAAAAACCTCCATATCGCAACAGCAACCACGCACACCGTGCTTTCGATGTGATGAAGATGATGAGAAAGTAAGTTAGGCTATATCACGTACGGTATGATTTTAGAAATAAAGTAGCTATTGGCTTAGAATTTGTGTACGGTAGTTGGTAAAGGTAATGTAATTTACTTGTTTGGACTGTGAGAGAATAGAGATTTTAAACCTTAAAGTCCTGTAGTATTATGTATTTGTTAGTGTTTGTATTAAAACCTCAGATTGTCCGTTTTGATCAAATTACTGTAGTGAAATATATTTCCTGTAACCAATATTAATGGGAAAATTTGGACAAAGTTGATATTTATGGATATTCAAATTAAATTAGCTACTAAATATAGCTACTGTATTCCACCAAAAGTGCTTCTCTGTCAAAATGAAAATAGCTAGTATACATACATTTTTTAGTACCCACTCTTTAGCCCTTTTCAGCTATTGCTCTTCTGATTCGTCCATAACTGTACCTTATTTGACTCATAATAGCTTTAGGCCTAAAAGTATAAGCTAGTATTGTGGTCCTTTCTTGTCATATATTTGTTGCCTTCATTGATTCCGCCCTAACCAAATGTGTTTCACGCTTCCACAACTTCTGTTATCAATTTCTATTGCTAAAACCTCGGAACTTTGTTGATGGGAAATAATTGTATGTATAATTATTTGGCACAACAGACATAACCTACTGTGTGACGTGAGACTTGTGGCTGACGCAGTGGAGGTGCCGGCTCACAAGATGGTGCTTGCCGCCTGTAGTCCTTACTTCCACGCAATGTTCACCAGTTTTGAGGAGCGGGACCAGGAGCGGATTGTGCTGCAAGGTGTCGACCCGCAAGCTTTACAGCTCCTCATCGACTACGTCTACTCCTCGGAGGTGCACGTGACGGAGGAAAATGTTCAAGTGAGTTGATATTTGAGATTTGAGTTGCTGATTAAGGGGTTTTAAAGGTATTACATAGTTTAGTCAGCTTATCTGAGTCCAGATTCCTAGATACACAGTTAAGGTTGCAAACTTGCAAACCACAAATCCGTTATTAAATCCTAATACAGTACACTCTCGATTATACGAGCCCCGGTTATCCGAGCCCTTGGGTTATCCGAGGTCGTTTTAGGCCTAAATATATATTTTTTTATTTCCGGTCGGGAAACAATACACTTACGTTTTTAGAAATGTTTCTGTTTAAAGTAACATAAGAATAGCCAGTAGTTTGTGATTTCCTGAAATTGATACTTTAAAATGTTTATAGATATTATTTTAACGTACAAATTATCTGCAGTAACTTAGAAAACGAAAATCACACAGTACTAGATTGGCCACTAACCATTGATAAGTTGGACGAGTCATCTGCAGAACGTCAACAAAAGCAGTGACAATTCTGCTCCGGCATTGCCGGCTTATATACTTGAATACTTTAACACTTTTCAATGAAATTGCAACCATACAAAGTAGGTATTTTAAGCCAAGTATGAATGGAGATGAGTGTAGGATGAGTGGCACGATCTTGTACCGTAGTCTTGTTAGTGACTAAGGCCGACATATTCCTTAGACACAGCTGTTAATTATTAATAGCCCATACAGCTAATGGCAACTAAGGGACCTACAGTTTATAGTGAATCCAAACCACATTTTTGCCTTGGTATTAACAAATTGGTCTAATTATCAGGATACTACTGCGGATAGTCGTAACGTATAGTTCAAGTCAAACTCAAACAAAAATTAATTGTATACTTCAAAAAACTAAAGGGATCACCCTTATTCTGTTTTTATTTAATCCTGTAGAGTGTTGACTTAGCATCATTTATTAATTTGTCCTGTATTTAAAGTTTTATAAGACAATTTTAGAAATGTTAAGCTGTTTGATTCATTGGTTTCCTTAATAACACTGCCTTAAAATACCATTTATCAATAATTTTGTATTCACTATTAAATCAGTTCAATAGTAGGCTACTGTTATATTTTATGATCGTTGATTGGATTTGGACCAAGATCTCCAAGAAGTTTTACCATGAAGTAATGGCCATTTTCCTGTATGAGGAAACTCATTGAAACAGATATTTAATGCTGCATCATGACAACATTATTTTTAGGTTTGGGGACATAAAATATTTTGACCTGTACAATTGCTAGAATCTGTACAAACAGCCTAGAGGATGAATTTCAATATCAAGTTATCAGATTATTTCTCGTACCAGGTCCTCCTGCCCGCAGCAAACCTGCTACAGTTGACGGATGTCCGAGACGCCTGCTGTGACTTCTTACAGGCTCAGCTGCATCCGACCAACTGTCTCGGAATCAGAGCCTTCGCTGACCTCCACGGTTGCATTGACTTGCTCTCGTCGTCAGAAACTTACATTGAACAGCACTTCCCGTAAGTCTTTGTAGTTAGTGGTTTGTTGCAGTTTAAGTTTTGATTTAATGCTAAAAAAAATCCAGTGCTGTGGTTGGTAAATAAATAAATACACTTTTTTTCTATGACCAATTTGCAAGGTGTAGAAGGTTGAAATTTATTGTTGGTTTATTTGTACACCCTTTCGACTCCTCGTGGAACATAGTGCCGCCACTGTTCCTCTCTACATGTCTCTGTCAGTTGTCCCTTTCTAGTTCTCAGCCTTCGGTCTTTGCCTCTTTCATTGCAGCCCAGGGCTTCATTGGCAACATTTCTGTAATCCTTTCCTTAGGCGGGTCTCACAAATTGCCATTTTCATCTGAACCTCTGAGTAGGGCCTACTTAGTTTGATAAATAACTTAGTTTGGAAATCCTTAAGTATAACTAACACTAAGAAAACCATTTCCCATGAATTTTACTCTACTAATCTTACTACATTCATTATTTTGGACATCCAACTGCTCAAACAATATTAGCTATGATTTAATTGAGAGTATTTAGATGAGTTACTTAAAAGTATTAATTATTTGTTTAAAATGCGATTGTAGGCTTGTTGTAATGAAATAATTGTTGATATGTATAATACTGAGAAAGCCAACTATATGGCTGATTCTAGAGTTATTTTAAGGGTTAGAGTTCCGCTAGCTTACTGAAGCTTCTTCAGAGCGCACATTTGTCTAGCTTCCAAGATAGATAACCAACCAACTCTTATTTTATGATACCTTTAGTCTTTTTGCAACTGCTTTTTACACACATTGAAAGATTCCATCACACATTGACGGGACATGAGTGTTGCATATTTTTTTTACAGAGAGGTGGTTGAATGTGAAGAATTCCTAGCTCTGTCACATTCTCATGTGTCCAAGTTGATCTGCAGTGACCATCTCACCGTCCCGTCTGAGGAGAAGGTAATCTTACACCATATTATCTGTAGGGTAAGGAGGATAGCAGCTAGCTTACCTTGAAGAAGTGCAGGTGGGCCATAGAACATACAGAAGAGACGCTAACACATATTATTTCGTCCCCTGGGGGATGTTGTCAAGTGTAGAGAAAGTGAGAGTTTACAAAATGGCTGCTGTCATGCCGGTTTCCAACTCAACTGTTACACCAGCTTAGTAAATGCAGTAATTATATCTAAAAACATAGATTTTATTGATCATTTAAACATAATTTGTGTGAGAATAGCAAGCTAACCTGAAGGGCAAAGAGTCCCAAAATGTCACAAGAAGTAGAACTTAACACAAAGTATATAGTGTAAAGTTTTGTGTGCCTTGTGCAAAACTGAATAGTGTAAGTACACACTTTTGCATACTTTGAAGTGTATAGTGTAGAAAGAAACTCGTCTGAAGAAAGAGTCCCAGGAAGTTTAAAGAACACAAAAAAAGTAACACATTTAGACTGATATTTCTCCCATTTTTCTTCAGGTGAGTTAGTTGTGTATCCTTGTTTTCTCCTTAACAAGTAAATTAAAGCATAGTGTGTTTCTAACTTCATTTTGACAATTAAACTTAACAAAAAAAAGAGTTGGCCATATATCATCTCTTAACCTAAACAAAGCTAAGTGTGATGAGATACTATTGTTTGTACAGGTGTTTGAATGTGTGATCAGCTGGGTGAATCACGCTCTGGACAACAGACAACAACACTTGGCTGAGTTGATGGAACACGTCAGGTTCCCACTACTGCCTCAGGACTATCTGGTGCAGAGAGTAGAGGAGGAGCCGCTACTCAAAGCTAACCTCAAATGTAAGTCAAGTATAGAGCAGATAACTTTCACATTGACAGATATACGTTAGCCTATGTACAGTAGACCCGCTCTTATCTGCACTTCTTGGGACTGAGGCCAGTCTGCACGGTTTTTGTCCTGGTGGTGTGATTGACAAATAACGCAATTTGATTAGAGATTGCAATAACGGAACCATCATCAACGTCTTTTGCAATCGCGGCTAAATTCTAATCATCTCATGTAGAAATAATTATCGTCTACTACAGTCAAAGACGATTGTGCTTCTTAATTTTTAAAAAATAAGTTAAGAAAATTATTAATCAGTATTACTGAGTATCATTTTATGTTATAGGTAAAGACTATCTAATAGAAGCATTAAAATACCACCTGCTGAAAGGAGAACAGAAGGCCCACTTCAAAACCCCAAGAACCAAACCCAGACAACCTGTTGGACTGCCTAAGGTTTGTACTTTAATTTCTCAACTAATTAAACTGTAAATTTCATGTTCAGTTTGAACGAAATTTCTACCTAATACAGTCTGTATAGAGTCGTGTTTGTGTAGAACCAAAATTTAAAAGAAGTCAGAAAATTGAAAAAGACTTTTTTCCTTTCAAATGGTAAAAATCAGTTGTTACATATTTCTTTGAAATAAAATCATGTTATAGTGTAGCTATAACATGATTGATCAGTAATATAATACTAATTACTAAACACTTTCCATATTTATCAGGAGACTTAAACTTCTATCCTTCACTCAATTCTGTAGGCTCTTAAAATTGATGCTTTCAATTAATACGAGTATATGATATTTACTTAAATGGGCTTGATGTTCTGGGGTCTATGAAATAACAAGAGGTAACTAAAATTTGTGTCTCTATAGACAATTTAAATTGTTTGGCAACCTAAAGAAAGGAATTTGACATGAGGCAAATATGATGAACAGCTGTTCTTGTAGTTTGAGCCTGACAATCCCCATTGTTTTCTTTTCTGTTTTATAGTTTGAATCAAACAAGGAAATCGTCTTATCTATATGTTTAATTAGTTTGCAATATGAACATAAATTAAATGTTTTCAATTATGAAATGTTTGTATAACGTAACAAACTTAGCAATCCTTTCAGGTAGGCCTATTGAAGCTGAAAATTCCTTTCTCTAGGTGGTCGGATTGTAGATTTTTTACTTCATCGTGATTTACAAGGGTTTCTATGTCCTAAATGACTATGGTTAACTTTAATGTCAATTTAAAATTTGTCAATGTCAGAGCTGGAATAATATTTTTGCAATTTAAAAGTGTAATTTTCAAAGTCATATTGTAATATAAATTTATATTGTTAGGAGTTTGCTGGGGTAAAATCGTCAAGAGAAGAGTTTTTGAAATTACTGAAAAAGTTTCCCGTTTTTCGAACTATTGACATGAGCTTCATATTAAACCAGGCAAGCTCGCCAGCTAAAATAAAGACATCATTTCTAACTCATGGAACTTTAATTCATTGGCTATGAAATATTCTTAACATAATTGTTCGAAGCTGAATAAGTGTTATAATTAAGCTTAGTGTTGTTTATGATTTTCATATTTTCAACCCTAGAACCGCTACGTTTGCGATCACAAAATTGCAGTCTGTTTTTTTATGAAACTTTTCTTGCAACATGACATGTTGAGTTGATAAACACATGACAAATTGGTTATTCGTTAATTGTTTTTTCATACTTTTCATTATTCTTAATAGTTTTAAAACCCACTACTAAAGTAGTTCTAAAGCAGTATTTTGTTGCTACTTCCTAAGTTTTTACCTATGTCACTATTTTTACATTCAAAATTTTATACTTGTACATTGTTAATTCAATAATAGTGGATTTTTACATTCTATCGCTTAAATTTTATTTGACCCTAAAATCCTACAGTATTTTATTTTACTTTTATCTTCTTTGCTACCTTTAACATGCACTTTTTCTGAGATTCATAGTCCCTCCTGCTAAAGTAGCTTGTTATAAAATGATACACTAAGGACAGGGCAATTCTATTTAATTTATTTTGACAATTTGATTTGATACAATATTATGTCCAGATGTTACAGTTTCTATTGGACTACTTTCATTCAGTTTACTCTAGTTTGATATTAAGTTATCTGGTTGATTAGCTTTTTGTCATAGGTTTATGTTTGTATTTTACAAACTCTTCAGGGGAAAATAAACAGCAAAAACATATGTAGTGGTTGTAGGGTTGTATGTTTTTTAAAGTTGATTTTTTATTTTTATTTAACACTTCATTAAACCATTATAACTGCACTCTGACTGCAATATGAGACTCAATTAAATTTGTTTCTCTTACTAACAGTTACAACCGGAAAACGTTTACTGCAAACTTTGAACCCTTAACCTTAACCTAATGAAAATTGCAATTGCTTACCTAGCATCAATAGATTAAAGATTTCCTTTAAAGCATTTTATTGTTGTGTTGCTTGCTTCCGTAGATCCATACTAATCTATTTCAAGGAATCTGAATCCAAGCGTCAAAAATGATTGAATTGAGCTTTTGGTAAAGTGATGACATTAGATCAAATTACTTGATAAGAATATTTACATTTGAATGATCACAATATTCATGAATTAGAATTAGGCTAAGTATTTTTGGCATAGATGATCCAGAATGTACAATAATCTTTCTTAGGAGAATAGTTTAAACTATAACTATAATACTATACTATATAAACTATAATAAGCCTTTCTTGGCGAACTTCGAGGTTTGAACCAAAAAAGAATACCTGTAATTAGATTTACACTGAAATTATTTACTTGGGGGTTTTTTAAGTCAATTAAATTCTTGATTCGGTAGCCTTTTAACCATGGATTCCCTGTTCCCTTTATCATTTTTGGGCCTTTAGTCACTTACTTGTTCTTGAGATTAACACACACAATCCTAGGACTCATTTGACCCAATAAGTAATTTACATAGATGAGTTATTATTGAGATTATGTGGTTTCATTCAATTCTCCACTATCTAACTTGTGTGTTAGTGTTAGATTATCTCATGTGTTTACTCTAGCTTGAACTCTTGTACCTCAGAAATACATTGACTTGATTTGTCCACTTAGCTTCTGATGCTTTTAAACACTTTCTTGTATTAACCGTAAAACTTTTCTCTGTTACAAATTATGAAGTCTATTAGAGTAAATGATGACTATTTTCGGAGAAAGAAGGTAAGGCATGCTATTTTTTATGTGAACACAAGTTTTGTTTTAACTATAGGATTATTAGGACAAATAGTTAATTTTTTATATTTTATTCCTAGGTGTTATTAGTGGTAGGGGGACAAGCTCCTAAAGCCATCCGTAGCGTGGAGTGTTACGACTTCAGCACAGAAACATGGAGCAGTGTCGCCGAAATGCCAGGAAGAAGGTAAAATTTAAATTTTACAACTAGTTCAAATTTGATAAGTTTGTACAGTCCGCTCTTAAGTTAATGGTACTGAACTTAGGTCGTATAACCTAAAAGGGCACTTAAAACAAATTCTACTTCTGTTACCAAAATCTGCATTGGTCTATTTTTCCAAACCCTATGGTTTCAAGGTGCTTCCTTATTGATTCATTGGCAAAAACCATTTTACCCAATAGACTACATGTCTGGGTTAGATTAGTTATGTTGGGTTGGATTAGTTATGTTGGTTTGGATTAGTTAGGCTAGATTAGGTTAGTTGAAAGTGTAAACAAACTGGCACTAGGCAGGATCGTGCCTCCTGAAATTATACGACGTCGGCTGAAGACAAAAGTCCTCTCCGCTCCATGTCTTTTTTTATCCCGAACAAACTCTTTGTGGATTTATCAAAATTCTGGCCTAGGTTCATGCTGGATTATCAAGCATGTCTCGTAGGATGATGCATTAGAGGAATAGAGGAATATTACTCTAGTGACACTGTAGGTGTTGGTTGTGGTAGAAGGCCATCTGAGCGCTTCCTGCCATTATATCGACTTTAAATAGGATTATAGGGCAGGATATGATGTTGTGTGTTGGGTGTCCAGGTGTCGTGCAGGTCTGGTGGTGCTGAGTGGTCGAGTGTATGCTGTCGGAGGTTTCAACGGATCGCTCAGAGTCCGCACAGTGGATGTGTACGACGCGGTGTTGGACCAGTGGACTGTGAGTGCAGGGATGGAGGCTAGGAGATCCACTCTCGGAGTGGCTGTTCTCAACAACATGATATACGCTGTGAGTCATTGTTTAGCAGTAAATCTTTATATTGTCACAAGTACGATTACAAACATCGCAGATATAAAAACATACATAGTATGCAGATGTCTATACTAGGGACCACGAAAGTCTGCAGTTGGCAGCAGCCAATACCAAGACTGGACTAGCGTGACGTTGCAACATCACCCGTTCAATATTTTACGACACTAATTAAAATATACTGTACTAAATAATATTTTCTAATCAGCTGGTATTATTAGATTCATGGCGACACCGCACTGTCCTCATTGGCTCCTTTGAAGTCACGTGGTAAATAGGATCCTCCCTCAACTGCATACTCTCGTGGTCCGTACTGTAAATATCAAGTTGGATTGGAATATCCAAACCCAAATTCGATATCCAACACTATCCGTTAAATATCGGACTTTTTTAGATAGACTATGTCTTTTGATGTTTTAGACTGGAAACAAAATTTTCCTTTTGACTGATTTAATAGTTTTGTCCTCTTGGTCACAGGTTGGAGGCTTCGACGGGTCAACAGGGTTGAACTCGGCCGAGGTTTACGACCCAAGAACTCAGGAGTGGAGGATGATTGCGTCCATGTCCACGCGCAGGAGCAGTGTAGGAGTGGGTGTGGTCAACAACCTACTATATGCGGTAAGTGTAGTGGTACAGCTTACATTTTTAACCCTTTAAGGTCCAACGCCCAAGGTATGTCAGACACAAGCTAACACAATTTAACTTCCGCTTACAGCTATGTATGAAAGTATATCTCGAGCAACATAAGTGTATGCATAATTATTGGCCATGTGCTGCATCCTAGAAGTCAAGATTAGAACTACTTTGCTCAGACTTTTTTTTACCAGTGCCGTTTGTGCGGTAGACTGATCAATGGTCGAACTTCCTAAGGTACCTATTGTGTCTGTAAGAGAAAAATGAGGCAAATGGTGGATACCAAGAGAAAGAAAAGGTAGATAGATGACATGAAGTCCAGTTACCTTTACCTATGATAAGGTTACCTGTGATATGTGATTCCTTAGATTTTACAGTGATAAATATAATTACTACAGCCAACTGCACAACATTAAGGCGTTGTTAAAACAGGTTAACAATTTACAGTAGCTAGGCTCTACACCAAGTGCACAAACAACTCAAATTAATAATACAAAAATGTTTGTTCTATTAAATGTTGGTTATATTTTTTTAGTTTACTATATGTCTTTGAAGCGTGTTGTGCGGTGTAGTAAAATATAAAATACCCCCGCCGCAGCAAACCTGCAGACTAAGCGAATTTCCATTTGACTGATTTGATTTACACTGAAATGTCTACTTAAAAATATAACATATTCCCGATTTAAATAGAATTAGTTTAACAAGTACTTAGGTTTGCTGCATCAGGGAGGGTAAAACTTTTTTTTTTAAATGTTAATAGTTAGTAAGAAATAAAAACATTTTCCAAATTTGATCTAAATATGTTCATAAACAAGCAAACTACAACAGTTTACTTATTCTCCATAAGAATAACATGGGAATTTTAAATTTAAAATTTTTTGGCATTTTCTCCATAACTATTAGGCGCATAATAACTCTTCAATATACTAAATTATTTGTTTTTTTAAGCTCTACAAAATGGTTTGGAAAGAAATTGCTAAATTTTATGTTTTTTGGGTCAAAAATGGGAAAAACCTATTTTTACCCCATAAAACCCCCCGTAAACCCCCGTTCCCATGATCTGATCATGCTGGATCGCGAACTCGTTCGAATAAGTGTAGGTTTACATGTTTGTACCAAATTTCATCAAAATCGGATCATTTTTGCTCGAGTTATCGTGCTAACGGACACATATATATTATATATATAAATATATTTTCTTGCATGTTTAGGGCTACTAATATAATAAAAACCAAAAACATATTTAACAAAGTACCCTTTTAGTAATTATTTTATTTTTCATGACGACATGTTTCGGAGACTAAGTCCATTATCAAGTCGTCATGAAAAATAAAATAATTACTAAAAGGGTACTTTGTTAAATATGTTTTTGGTTTTTATACTAGGGTTGCTTTCAGAGAGGTGAAAGCCAGTTGAGCGGAACAAACGTGATTTGATATTTTTGTATAACTAACTAAATGTAAAAAGGTCAATAGATTTATTTACTAATGCTGGTTTTAAAGATTAAAATTATAATAATTCAAATTTACCTCTTCGAGAAGTGCATTATGGTAGTTTTGACCAGGAAAATATTACAGTAGTTGGAATTTGATATTAACATCCAAAAAGGGCATTAAAGTATAAAAAAGAGAAAGCAAATTTAACATTCAAATTCAACTGTAGCCTACAACAAAAACATTGGACTTCATTTTCCACCCTTACAATTGGTTAAAGTATTTAAGTTAAAAAAAAAACAGTACCTATTAAAAAACGAGTATTATATAACAACAGGAGAGGAAATGTGACATTTAAATTCAACTGTGCAGCATAAACATCGGTTAAACTCAGCTTTCTTTGCTGGAAATAATTTATGATTGTTAATACCAAGTATTCTTGATGGAGGATATGATTGTAATGTAACTGGAATGTAGGTCTTCTGCCATTATTAGGATGATTTAGCGACGGCATTTTAATACTGGCCTTAATAATACCATTGGCTAGTTGTATTGATAGTCAAAGATAAAACATAGGCCTACGAAAAATGTAGGGCTATTTTAATGTAAGACTCAAATGTAAAACACCTTTAAAAGACTAAAATAAACTGAATATCAGTCATGGGTATATCAGTCATGTATTTCAATGTGTAAAAACGTAAAAACTGCAAAAAGAATAACTTATTGAACAATAAAATAAGATGGCTGAAATGTAGGCATAAACATAAGTAATAAGTAAACATCGCATTCAGCTGATTTAAGTGAAAACAGAATAATATAATAAGTAGGGAAGACATGCCTGAAATATACAATTTAGATAATATAATTAGGAATTAGTAGCCTACTTCTGGACAGGCCTAGACAATTATCCATACCATGGTTAAAAGTGTACTTCTATAAGCGCAGGTTTACTTATTACGGTTGTAACTGGACGTATGTATAGTCCGTGGCTTGGCAATCAAATAACAGTATTTATATAGGATAGGCTACTGTTATCAACATTTGAAATGACTAAATTGTTACCAAATTACTGTTTCACAAAATGCAGATTCCATTTTCAACCGAGCCATTAAAATGAGGATTTGCCGAACAATTATTAATATTACAGAATAGTATATAATGATATACAACTTTTCACATTCCATAAATTATATGTTAGTTTTGCTATGGTCAAAGGTCCAAATCCAAATGTTCTCTTTTCTTTTGGTCAGTATGTAATAATTTGCTAGAATCATTGACTTTATATAAAGTCAAAGCTAGAATACTGTAGATGGTTTGTTAAGTTAAGACCATATGCAAGCATTTTTGAAATCGTTTCCCCGTTTAACCTTAACCAACTATTCCATTCCAAAAGATAAAAATTATATGGTGCAACACAAATAAACAACCCGATCACCTACCTATAACCTACACTTTACCTTCCTAATCTAACCTTACTTCAAAACACTTAATGTAGTCACGAATACTCATAAACACCGACCTACCTCCCCACATGCCTAAATTAGATCAGTGTTCAATCTGCGTTTTATCAATAAGTGTAATAACTTACTGTACCGTCGATGTAATTCAACATAATATAACCTATGAGGTATTATCGGATTAAATTCCGATTTCGATGCGGTTCGATATATCGCTTATTAAATACTGATTTCTAACATTGGCTGTTTCTAATCAGCTGGCAACACAAATAGGTTCCCAAGAAAGTAGTCACCGGTCAGTATCCCTCCGCTCCTTGTTTATGTTCCTCGCATTGAGAAAGTAGTTCCGTATATTTTCTCGATTTTCAGTGAATTCCGCGCCTTAAAAAAATGTTTTAACGGCATTTTCTTGTTTATTAAAATCATAGGAATGGTTTAAAAACGTTTAAAAGAAAAGTATAGAAAGTTCAGAAATACCTTATGATTCTCTTGTTTACATTTTTCTTGTAAACAAAAAAACTGTCATAGCTACTTTAGTCCCATAAGCCTAATGTTAAAAATTTGAAATTTTAAGTTCGTTTTAAATTGCATTGGCATTATCTAATTGAAATTTGCTTGTTTACAAACCATCTCATTATTAGTCTAAGTAGTCTTGTTAAGTTTGGCTGAAATGTGTTCAGCCGTTATTGAGTGATGGTGTTATATTGTTTGCATTGAAGTTGATCCCAAAGAGCTTCGCTCGCTTCGCTCGCTCCGCTCAATAAATATATATATATATATATATATGAATTTGAACGGATGGTGTTTTTGGCCTCTAGGGACCTCAAAACGAAAAAAAAAATCGGTCCCGCGTCTAGGTCTTACCATGAGTTCTACGGTAATAGCTTATTCCCTATATGGGAAATTCGCTAAAAGAGAAAAAAATCAAGAGATTTTATTTATACAAAAGAGGTACATGTTTTTTAAAGAGAAAAGATTAGTACGTGTTTCTATGAGAGGAGATTTGCGATGAATTAGTGCTCAATAATTAATAATCAATAATTAATATTTGGTCATGTTATGGGAATTACAGAGAGACTGGAACAAAACACATCTATATGTTAATAGGCAAGCATGTTTCCTTAAAACCTTTTTTCTCAGCTTGTGTGCATCGTAGCCGTAGGGAAAATCTACGCATACTGTTAGAAAGATATTTTCCTGTAGGTGTACACAATCCCTTTATACATTAAAATAGGCTCAAAAATAAGCCCATAAAATGAATTTGAAGTTAACAAAAATAACATGGGACTTATGGGTTGCAATGCTGGTGACGAAATATAAACAGAATACCCCCGCCGCAGCAAACCTGCAGACTTAGCGAATTTCCATTTGCCTGATTGGGTTTACATTAAAATGTTTCCCTTAAAATATCACATTATTTCCCTATTTAAATATAATTAGTTTAGTTTAGAGTAGCCTACTTAGGTTTGCTGCAACAGCGAGGGTAAAGATTTTTTTTTTTTGAAAATGTTAATAGTTTAGTAAGAAATAAATGCATTTTTCAAATTTGATCAAAATATGTTCTTAAACAAGCAAACTACAACATTTTACTTATTCTCCACAAGAATAACATCGGAATTTAAATTAAAATTTTGTTGGAATTTTCTCCGTAACAATTAGGTGCATAATAACGCTTCAATATACTAAATTATTTGTTTTTTGAAGCTCAACAAAATGGTTTGGAAAGAAATTGCTAAATCTTACGTTTTTTGGGTCAAAAATGGGAAAAACCAATTGTTACCCCTTAAAACCCCCCATAAACAGTTACACACTCACATTGGGAATAACTAGAATGGAACATGACATTTATAAATTGTTTTACAGTTTTAAAACAGTTATTTGTATGTATTGGTGAACCAATAGTATGTTATCGCTGATGTGTCCAGGTGGGAGGATATGACGGAGCGTCTCGTCAATGCCTCAGCTCCGTGGAGTGTTACAACCCCGACTCTGACAACTGGACCAGCGTCGCTGAGATGTCTGCTAGGAGAAGTGGAGCAGGTAACTGGCTTACAGTATCTACCTAATCGGTTGAGGATCAGGTGAAAACGGCATTGTTCGAGGTTTGGACTTTTTATATGACATCAGTGAATATGGTTTTGCTTCACACTCTTTTGCTTTTCAGTTTTATTCTGCAACATACTGTGTAGTGTCCAAAATTGTATCCTAAGTAAAAATTGACAGCGGACTTATTCAATGAAGATATCACAGTAGATTGTTAGTCTGGTTTACTGACGGTCCAATCCACAAATTTTGAAACTGAATCTGATTCCTTAACATCAATTCCTGATTCTGTACTTGATGTCTTCAACTTTGACTGGATTTCCAGATAGATTTTGTCATGTTTCTTCTTCATTTTTACATTACCATTTTGCCCTCATACTCGTCTGGGGAGTAGATAGGTCTATCGATTAAGCTTCATTGAATTCTTTCTTTCAATTTTAATTGGTCCAGCTGCCTAATTCCCTGTACTGTGTATCCTAAACTGTGAAATCTATTTTTACTAATATTTACTTAATTTTTAATACATTCTCTAGCCAGTCATGAATTTAAATGAAGTCGTTTATGTTTTAGCGAATTTCCCTTTAGGAAAGTAGATATTATCATAGATGGCACGGTAATACCTAGACCCGGGACCATATAATGTTTCATTTTCATGTCTGCAGAGGCCAAAAAAACTTTTTGTTTGAATGTTTATGTATATATTTGTTATGACTTCCCTAAGACTCTACAATTTTTCATTTAGGCCTATAACTATTATTATTAATCATATGTTTTTCTATTGTTTATGTTTTGTAAACATTCATAAATTGTAATTTTGTGTTGAATTAACATGCATGCTTTTATTAGTTACTAGCTGTGTGCCCGTTCTACGCACGGGGATCTATCGTAGTCAGTTAAAACCTTCATATATTAAGAACAGCATTTGGTTTGCATATTTTCAGATATGCTGGCAAAACTATTATATAAACCTTCGCAAATACAGTATCTGACAGTTTCAAGCCAAAACAAATGCTTTGCAATTAAATGTCACCCGGATCGTGTTGGTCCATTATGTTAAATCCAATGATTAAACTAAAAAATGCGTTATACGTAGATCTATGAGGCATAGCCCTAAGGTAGGCCTATAATTGAAAGTTACTTTCCACAATGGTTAAAAGTATTTAAGGTACTACCTCAACCTCACAATTTAACACTTTATTTTGGTTGACATTTTCATTATCATGGTGCTATTGTCCTTTCCATGAAACACTGGTAAATAAGGACATTAATGCGTTACCAACAGACAAACACACAAAAATACAGAACTTAATTAGGGAATTTGCTACGCTTTAAGCATAACAAAGTACATATACAATTAGTATTTGAAATCTTTGTTAATGTAATCTCAAATTTTATCATAACAATTTAAAGTTGCTTGGACCGAAGATGACCCGAAATGTTGTAGAAATGACGGCTTACTATATGAAATGAAGTACTATAAACGATTTAGATTGGTAATTTATAATAAAAATTACCGAAATAGGCCAAGAACAGAAAGTGACACATTGGAAAACCGAGTTTAGCATCATCCGTAAACCTCTGTTACAATCACCCACTACAGTTGTGATTTTTTACTTTACACTTTACACAACCGCCATTGAAGCGCCGTCAATGAGTGGAAACCTTGTTTCTAAGCTATTGGCGACGATCATTATTAAATTTAAGTTTCCCAGCCGCATATAACACTAATTCAAGGTCTTCTTTCTGGTTATCAAAACTCAATAACAATTTTATACACAAAGAATCTCTGGTTCCTGACCTGGATGATGCCTAGTTATTTAATTTCATTTACGGTTACACTATTACACTATATTATTGAACTTGCGATTAATTAAATCCGCTATGTAAGAAAAACGTTTTTAATCTCACTTGGTTGGGATTTGCTTTCAAAACGTTATCGGTAATGGTTGCGGTATTGGTAAATGTAAATATGTGGTTTCCCTGGACACTAAATTAAAATACCTAGCTCAATAAAATAAAAGGGCAAACTGAATTATTAAACTCAACACTTTTAATTCAACCAATTAAAGAAGACATAGATTTGACTATTATTGTTTTTAACAACACATTTAACAATTTAACCATCTGGTATTCATCATTGAAGTATAGTATAACATTAAAAACAGACATGTGGCAAATATTAAATTGCACTCAACACCCCTCCTCAATTTAATAATTTTACATTTGACACAATTAACAAACAAAAAATCCTAACATCTTTCTCAAGAAATGAGAAACGAATGAATAGCTTGATTCCATGCTAATGGTGCCTGTTTCAAGCCAGATAGTGCCTTTTGCAATTTGCAAACGGAGCCAGGTGTTCCTTCAACTCCTTCAGGAATGGACATATACATATTTCCTCCTTCAGCTCCTCATGAAGAAAAGCATTGCTGACGTCTAATTGTTCAAGAATTAATCCACGTTCATTTGCTACAGCCAGCAACACCCTAACTGTTGCAAGACGAACCACTGGAGCATATGTTTCTTCATAGTCAAAACCCTTTCTCTGTGAACATCCATTGATAACAAGTCTTGCCTTGTATCCTTCAATATTTCCGTCCATGTCTTTCTTCAATTTGAAAACCCATTTACTGGAGATAGCTTTCCTTCCAGGTGGTAGTTCATTGTAAGTCCAAGTTTTGTTTTCCTTCATAGAGTTAAGATCTTCCTTTACAGCTTGATACCAATGATCCTTATCATCACGTGCTGCAATATCCTTGTAACTTTGCGGTACATCATCGACAAAGGATTCAGCATTCAGAGCAAGAACTGCATAATCCTGTAAGTATCTTGGCACATTCCTCTTTCTGGTAGAGTGTCTTATTGTTTCTTCTTCACTTACATGATCTACAATTTCTTCTTCCTCTTCTTCAAGATCTGGTATAGAAATTCTTTGATTTTCATCAGACAATGATCTGGGTTCTTCTTTGTTCTTTTCTTCCTTTTTACTTGATCTGGATTCATGTACATGATCGGGAATCCAATCTTCAATTGGTGTGCTCTCAAAGTTAAATTTTTCCTCATAAAACACAACATTTCTTCCAGTGATTATTTTTCCTTCTTCAGGACACCACAGTCGATAACCATTAGGACAATATACAGTAAAGTAACACTTCAAGCATTTGCTGTCAAATTTACTTGATATCAATTCCTTAGCTAACAGCAAATATGCTGCACAGCCAAAAACTCTTAACTTACTAAGGTTAGGCTTCTCGTTGTACCATAAAGCAGCAGGGATCTTTCCTCCTAAAGCCTATGTCGGACTTCGGTTGATTAGATATACGGCAGTTCGAACAGCTTCTGACCAAAATGTCTTACCTAATTCACAATTAAGTATTAAACAACAAGCCCTTTCAACAATAGTCCTGTTCATTCGTTCTGAGACACCGTTCTGTTGAGGAGTATATCTGATTGTGAACTCATACTGAATTCCTTGCTCCTCAAAAAACTGCTTCAACTCATTTGACATGTATTCACGACCATTGTCACAACGAAATCTGCGAATCTTTAGATTGAAATGAGATGTAGCCAAAGCATGATACATCTTGACATATCTTGTGACTTCTGTCTTTGATTCTAGAGCATAGGCCACCGTGAAATGAGTAAAGTCGTCAATAAAAGTGATGATATATTTCTTACCGTCAAATGAAACTGGTGAGATTGGACCACACAAATCACTGTGAATCAACTCAAGAGGTCTGGTGGCACATCTCCTGTTCTGATTGTAAGGAAATTGTGATTGTTTCCCTTCAACATACTTTGAACACTTTTCTAAGGGTAATGTTGAAGTATTTAACTCCATCCCATCTACCTGCGACCTGATACTTTTAATACAACCATAGCTCAAATGACCAAGCCTGTCATGCCACAGCTTCATTTCTTTTTCAGTTGAAGACGCTGACAAAGCTTTGTATTGCAAAAAATTTAACATATATAACTGAGAATTGTTTCTTTTTGCAACCGCAACAGTTTGATTATCTTTCTTAATCAAGCCACATGAATTTTGAAAGATAACACAAAAACCATTCATTTCCAATTTTCTTACTGAAAGTAAATTGTAGCTAATTCCAGGTACAGATAAAACATCTTTGATTGTTATTTTAATTTCCTTCCCTTCCACAACACTAGTGACATACAATTCCCCTTTACATTTTGCTTCAAGATAAGTTCCAGACTTGGCTACTTTGATTTTAATAGGTTTTTCTAATTTCTTAAAGTTAGAGAGACATACCTCATTACTGTTAACCAGGTGTTCTGTTGCTCCAGAGTCTAATATCCAATTTATGGTATCTGCTGAACAGTCTTCACTTGATGTTCCAAAAAAAAAATGCATCTTCCTGTTTGGTGTCGACCACGTTCGCAGAATTATTTTTCTTTGATGGGTTCTGTGGTAATTTGACTCTGCAGTTAGCTAGTTTGTGTCCAAGCTTTCCGCATCTGTGACAAGTGAAATTGAACGAGTTGCCAGAAGTTCCTTGATTTTCTGGAAAATTTTTCTTTTTCCCTTGTTGAGACTGGAAGGCAGTAGGTGGTGGTGTACAATCAAAATCAATTTTTCCAACGCCCCTCCTCTTTGTCTCCTCTTCCAGCAGTCTGACCTTCACAAAGCTTAGAGATAAGTCCTTCATTGATAGAGTCTCTATGGCTGTGACAACGACATCATATTCTTTAAGCATGGTCAGTAGTAGATGACAAACAATGTCAGATTCCTCGACAGTTGCTCCTGTAGAACGTAACTCTCTTTTGACTTTGTCAAATTTCAGAAAGTGACGATTTAAAATCTCATTCTTCGCATCAAACTTTATTGTTAGTAACTGCTTCCTTAGTAGAAGTTGGCTAGCAATTCCTTTCCTTTCAAATGTGTTGCAGAGAGATGACCCTAGTTCAAAAGCAGTTGCCTTGTCTTTTGCATATTCCAAATGGCTGTCGGCAATACGCTGTATAATCTGCGACTTGCA